TTTTGCTATTTTGATGTGTAATTTTTTTTTTACCCCATCTACTTATTATGATGCCAAATGTTTTCCAGTGAGAACACATGGACACAGGGAAGGGAACAACACACACTGGGGCCTGTCAGGGATTGGGAGACATAAGTGGAGGGAGAGCATCAAGATGAATAGCTAATGCTTGTGGGGATTAATACCTAGGTGATGGGTTGATAGGTGCAGTAAACCACCATGGCACACGTTTACCTATGTCACAAACCTGCACGTTCTGTACGTGTAATCCAGAATTTAAAATAAAATTAAAAAATAAAAACAAAAAACAAAACAAAACAAGACTCTAAATGTTTTGACCCTGTCCACAAAAATAATTTTCTACCAAACTTTGAGATCTTGCTCTCCTCAGTACCCTCTTCACTTTCTCTTTATACAAACCGAATTGAAAGATCTAGATAATGTTGCATATTTTGTCAGAATCTCCTCATAGACCCTCCAGACTTTCCCTTCCACTTATTCAATCTGTCTTTTGTTCACTTTGTTGAAAGTAACACCTGTGTTGCTAACTCATATTTTTGCTCTTGGTCATTTTTTTGTGTGTGGGCAGTTCAGTTTAAAACTTCTCGGGTTTAAAATCCCAAGGAATGAGGACAGCCCAGAATAGTCCTTTTACAAATTTGCAGACACAAGGCACGTCATTAAAATAGTAAGAAAATGGAGTGAATTTATTCAAAGTTGGCCACTGTGAAGATGAAACATTCAGAACTGCATTTTGAACTGCCTGTTTTGATGCTGTCATTCTGTTCATTTTTTAGTGCCATTTTGTTAGTGCTGTCATTTTGGTATAGAAAGTGCTTAGGATATGTAACAATCAGTAATATTCTGATCTTAAAATAATACAGCAGCATAAAATATTAAATTTTTAGCTTTTTTCATGTTCTAGTAATATCTACAACAGATACTCTCACATGACTACTGGAACTCATCTCCCCATCTTCTACTCCACACTTTACACGTTCTATTCCTAACCCAAACTCCAAACCTTACCCACACTCATGCCTTACGTTGCTCCTTCATACCTTATTCATACCTGGTACTCTACTTGTACTCCATACCCTATTTATAGTCCATACCTTCCTTTGTTTTGAGGTGGAGTGTGGCTCTGTTGCTCAGGCTGGAGTGCAGTTATATGATATTGACTCACTGCAACATCTGCCTCCAGGTTCAAGCACTTCTGTCTTAACCTCCCAAGTAGCTGGAACTACAGCTGTCCACCACCATGCCTGACTAATTTTTCTATTTTTAGTAGAAATGGGGTTTCACCATGTTGGCCAGGCTAGTCTTGAACTCCTGACCTCAGGTGATCTTCCTGCCTTGGCCTCCCAAAGTGTTGGGATTACAGCTGTGAGTCACCATGCCTGGCCCAGACCTTGCCATACTTCATAGATTCCCATGCCCAGTACCTTACTCATATTCCATCCCTTACCCCTATTCCATAACTTACATATACTCCATGCCTTATCCACACTCCATACCTTACCCATAGTCTGTACCTTACTCATATACTATACTTTACACATTATCCAGACTCTTACCCATGCTTCATATCTAACCCATAGTTCATACCTTACTTGCCACACTTTGTGCGTTATTCATACCCAGTACCTTACTCTTGCTCCCTGCCTTACCTATTCCCCATACTTTCTCCCATATCATACCACACTGAGACTTCATGTTTTACTTTGTCCCACTCCTGACACTTATTGCACTTCATCTTTCATTATTTTTCTTTCAGTAACCTCAAGGATGTTATGCCCAACCAGCTTAGAATCATGTTGTGGCCATGCAAAGTGAATGAGGCATGAAACTATTTACTCTTTTTATTATTTGTTTATTTTACTTTAAGTTCTGGGATGTGCAGACATGCAGGTTTGTTACATAGGTATACATGTGCTGTGGTGGTTTGCTGCATCCATCAACCCATCATCTGCATTAGGTATTTCTCCTAATGTTATCCCTCCCCTTGCTCTCCATCCCCGGACAGGCCACAGTGTGTGATGTTCCCCTCCCTGTGCCCAAATGTTCTCATTGTTCAACTCCCACTATGAGTGAGAACATGCAGTGTTTGGTTTTCTATTCCTGTGTTAGTTTGCTGAGAATGATGGTTTCCAGCTTCATCCATATTCCTGCAAAGGACAGGAACTGATTCTTTTTTATGGCTGCACAGTACTCCATGATGTATATGTGCCACATTTTCTTTGTCCAGTCCATCATTGATAGGCATTTCGGTTGGTTCCAAGTCTTGGCTATTATGAATAGTGTTGCAGTAAACATACATGTGCATGTGTCTTTATAGCAGAATGATTTGTAATCCTTTGGGTATATACCCAGTGATGGGGTTGCTGGATCAAATGGAATTTCTGGTTCTAGGTCCTTGAGGAATCACCACACTGTCTTCCACAATGGTTGAACTAATTTACACTCCCACCAACAGTGTAAAAGTGTTTCTATTTCTCCACATCCTCTCCTGCGTCTGTCATTTCCTGACTTTTTAATGATTGTCATTCTAACTGCCCTTGAGGTAAGATACCATTTACTCTTTTATTTTACTGACACCAAGACACACTCAAGCCGACTAGCCCACTTGGATCAGTATTATCACTATTACGTTTTTAAAGAGATCCAATGAGAATGTGTGAGGAGTAGGCTGAGAGTGTGTTATATACACACGTGTGTGTGTGTGTGTGTGTGTGTGTGTGTGTGTGTGTGTGAGAGAGAGAGAGAGAGAGAGAGAGAGAGAGTCATGAAGTAGGAAAGAAATCACATGTAGTTTTCTGTTTTTAGGATACCCATGTCACCAAAATACCCTATTTTATATAATTGAAAGTTTCTCTTGAAGCCATCATGAAATACTACTTTTTAACTTCAGAAAGAATGCACCAAAAGCATTTGGGACGGATTATCTCACTTATTATAAGTATTTCCTGGAGAAAAACAAAATACAAACAACAAAACAATATCTATATATCTAGTCTAAATCTTTTGTTCTGCAATTTAACTTCATATTCTTTTTTCTTTAGTAGACCTTCCTCAGTGAAAAGGCAGTTTCTACCTATTACCATAAAAAGTGAATTTATATACTCAATGACAATTATTTATAAGTATTCAATATCCTTTGACACTTATGGATCATAGTTGTACAAAAAATGCTTAATACTTTTAAAGATAACATCTCAACATTAATGATATAACAGTTTTGCTGGTATACATAAGTAGGAATGAGTGGGATAGTTGTGGGGATAATTTGGGCTGCAAAGGTATTTTAGAAACTGTCTACCCTGCAGAAATTCATTCAGGTATCATTCCCCGGTAGTTGTGTAATCAATTCTAAAGTTGCTCAAGCCCGGCACCCCACCCCATCCCAAGTCTCCCAGCTAGTACATTGTTTAGACCAGCTTGATCAGGGAGGCTGTCAATTGCATTTGTCTATGTCATCATAGATATTCTGAAGATCTGATGAACCCTGGAGTAATGTACTGTACTTGGCAGCAACTGCCTCAGCTTTTGGGCACATATGCTTCAAATCTGAGAATATCATAGATATATATGGGAATCTTTGTAGAGATCTCTAAGGCAAGCTGGTATTTAACACAAAAGCAAACCCATTTAGAACTAAAGCACTTTCCATTAGGCAATTTGGCGGCTGTTGTACGAGGCCGACTCACTGTGCTCTACGGACACATTTCGATTAAATGCTGCTTTGTATTCTTCCAAAGATGGGAACAATAAGGACGTTTGTCAAAGGAAAAACTGCAGCAAATGATTTCATGTTGAACATCTGTACTCTGCAGTTCATTGTTTGCAAGAGTTTATTGTCCATAATTTTGATGCATATAGGTTTTAAAGAGTATAAACTGCATTTATCTTGGGTGCCTATCATTTATTTGAGTCTTGGCTTATTTATTTTCATTTTTTTCTGGGCATTTTATTTATTTTGGAACTCAGAAGAGATGAAGTAAAAGATGTTTCTCAAAAAGGAAGTTTTAGTTAGCTCTGCAAAATTGATGAAGAAAGACAGTGTTTTTACAAAAAGGATTAAGCAATTGAATTGAAAAATGTAACACTAAGCATATTCTATCTTTATGACACCTTTCAGCCTTAGAGATCTCAAACCAATTTATAAACTTTCAGACCACTTTCATAACCCTTTGTCCACCATGCCAATCATATTGACATTTCCAGAGTAAAGTCTAGCAGCTGTTAATTAGGAAAATATGTAATTTAGGGATGGTGGAGTCAAAACATGATTAATGGTATCGTGAATGTGATATTGAGTTAAGCTGCCTTTTTAACTTTATAAATGGATGACCTACGTTAGAAGATGCAGGCTTTTTTTTTTTTTTTTCAGGGAAGCCAAGGTCCAGGCAATTCAAGTTGCTAAATCAGAGTAGCTTTATCAGTCATGATTTGATAGATTGCCATGGTCCTGATCTCTTGACCAAACTCTGCTATTACATAAACTATAGATAACTTGAACAGAGGAAAGACAGACCATAGAAACTGACCACCTAGAAAGATAATAGAAACTCTTTCTTTACATAGTATACACGTAATATAGTCAATGTATTGTAGTGGTTAAAAATGCAAACTTTGAAATCAGGTAGATTTGGGCTGTAACCCCAGTACCACATAATTTAGTCTTCATGAGCCTATTTCCTAAGTACTAGAATATAGATAATAGTGTGTGTATTTTATAGGATTGTTGTGTAGTTTTTAGGCAATCACGTGTGTAAAGAACAGTGTCTGGCATAGTGAGCTTTCAATATATGTTAACTGTTATTATTCTTTATTGGATCATTTGGTTCTAAGTCTTGACTAAGAAAAACCTGATGAATAACCTCTTTAAGTTAAAAAAAAATGTCCTTCATTGCCCAATTGCCTACAGTCACAGAAGACATAAAGACATTGTTCTTGAATAGATAATGAGCAACTAATTTTTGTTTTGTGTTTCTTTGTAGGATGCACTCAGGCAGAAACTCAAGATGGTTATGTTAGCTTCTACAACTTGGCAGTCTTGATCTCTGGGTCAAACTGGCAGTTCATTTTTACTGTCACTTCTCCTCCAGGTAATGTTACACAGTGTGTTTTTATTCTCTGTTTTTTTTTTTTCTTTTTGAGAAAATAATCCTTGCTCCCTTTTAAGGGGAATAACTGCTATCATGAATAAGAAGTCATCATAGTTTAGAAAATAAATTCACTTGAGTGTATCATTAAGCCTGAGAAGAGCACATGTGGAAATAGAAACTTCAGGAGACTCCTGGTCAGCAAGAAACCAAATGTACATTTTCTTCTCCAGTGGAAGTTGACTTTCTGTGTTCTACCTGTTTTTTTCTTTTATTTACTTACATGACATTTGGTTGGGTATTAATAGGAGAATGTTAATTTATAAGAAAGAGAGTCATGGGATATTGAGTATTATGAAATTTTAACTTTGGGTTCTTTCCTTATCAACCCCCTGCCAAATGGGGACAATGCCCATCAACATACTGGCACTTTAGAACTATTAGTATAAGGGGTGTGTAAATTGCTTATATGATCCAGTTCTTTTTGACAAAGCATGTAAAAAACCACCCTCTGACATATTAAATGTGACTCTAATGAAAATATAAAATGATCACTTGTCAACATGTTATTTAACTCACTAATGAGGAAATTAGAAGAAATAAGAAAACTAATTTAAAGAGCATTTGGGAGATAGTGATCACGTCAGTGAAGAAATGCTGAAATAAGTTTACAATGGATACAGGGCAATAAAAGTGTAACCTTTGATATTACCTTGTCTACAGAAATCATTTGCATCCTTAACTGTATAAAAATTGTTTTCAGCATGACAGTCTTCTACAAATTAACATGTCTGGGCCCTAATAAATAACAAATAGTAAGCCAAACAAATGTATGTTCAAGGGAACTTAATAAACCTTCAAAGGGCCTTTTGAAAATGTTCCAGTGTGACGCTGATAAGATCTGTAATCATAATCATTTTTCCTTTAGTTCCAAGATTTGGATTTTTTTTTTTTAACAAAAAGACTATCTTCTGAGGTCAGATAATATTATTGTTCCCTGGCTATATGATCATTATCTCTTAAATGCTATTTAAACCAGTTTCATGTTCTTCCTGGTTTCCTCATTGGTGAGATAAATAACATGTTGACAAGAGCTGCTTATGTATTTTCATGAGAGTCCCATTTATACTTCAGAGGATGATTGCTTAAATGGTTGTTAAGCATTTAAGCAATCATCCTCTGAAGGATAGAAAAGAAATAGAAAAAGAATAGAGCCACGTGAGCAATTTACACACACCTCGTGTGTCAAAGTGTCCTAATATAAGTACAGGTTCATGAACAAACATGTGTAGTATCCTTGACCATGGGATTCCCAGTTTCCAGTGATTGTGCCATAAGCTTGAGTTTTTGAATGGATATGTTTTAAAGTGTAAGACAGGCAGGACTGCATATTTTATTCTAGATTTGTCTGACATTTAAAAGACCTTTGTCCTTCAATTACATCAGTAATTAATTAAGACTACCCAAATACATTATCAAGTTTATTTTAAGGAATAAGTTGTAAAACCAAATGAGAAATGTATTGTAGACAGAAACTTCTTGGTAACTCCTGTGATTTTGAGCTGGCCTTGGTGTTCACACTTGGTAGACTACTGCTTTCTTATAGTTTCTACTTACAGCTTATAAAAAGAATTAACTGAAGAATCATCTTGAAAGTTTTCCCTTAGTGTTTTCCACTAAATTATTCATAATTTTCAAGATCAAGTCTGTGAGACTCTTTCAGAATGAGATTTATAAAAGTTTAAGTTTGGAGAAAATAGATGGCAGATAAAAAGAAAGGGAAAATATTAAAGATCTGCATTTCTGTGACCCCTTATTGACATCATGCTGAGTAATGGCACACGTCCAGAGAGTAAATCCTTGTTTCCAAGTATATCAGTTTCAAGTGCGAGAATGTTTGGGAAAGCAGTGTTTTTTCACACATTTTGGCCAATCAATGAAATTTCTTATTTCCAATAGGCTTCAAAATAATAGGTCTGATGAGCATTGATTTATGTTATTGTTGATTCATGTGTGTGTGTGTGTGTGTGTGTGTGTGTGTGTGTGTGTGTGTTTTGTTGTTATTTTTAGAGAGGGTCTCACTCTGTTACCCGGCACCCAGGCTGGAGTGCAGTGGCTCACTGTAGTCTCAATCTCCCAGGCTCAAGCAGTCTCCTACCTCAGCCTCCAAATAGCTGGGAATACAGAAATGTGTGCCACCACACCCAGCTAATTTATTTTATTTGATTTTTTTGGTAGATTTGGGGTCTTACCATGCTTCCCAGGCTACAAATATTTGTTTATCAGTAAGTGAATTTATTGAGATTGTTTTTAAGATTGAAGTTTTAAAAATGTTCTGCTGCTAAAATAATTGAAAACCAGTGGTTTCCACCCTTGAATTTAGATAATTTCACCTGGTCTCCTTGACATTAGGTTCTCTGTCATTTTTGTGTTCTACACAGAAATGGACCAACTATATTTTATGTGGCTCATTTCACTTCTCAGTTTAGAATCTTCTTTCTAGGCTGGGCAGTGTGGCTCATGCCTCTAATCCTGGTACTTTGGGAGGCTGAGGCTGAAGGATAGCTTGAGATCAGGAGTTTAAGACTAGCTTGAGCAACATAGCAATACCCCGCTTCTACAATAAATTAACAAAAAATTAGCCAGGCATGGTGGCACATGCCTGTAGTCTCAACCACCTGACAGGCTGAAGCAGGAGGATCATGTGAGCCCAGGTGTTCAGGTCTACAGTGAGCTATAATTGTGCCACGCATTGCACTCAAGTTTGGGTGACAGAGCCAGACCCTGTCTTTATTTAAAAAAAAAAAAATCTTTTCTTCTGTGGTACCTTATGCCTTCAGAATATTCTCTAGGGCCCTTTGCCTGATATTTAATGCCCATCAAAATTGGTCTCAAATTCTTCTAGCATTAAGTTACAGTATTTTTCTGCATAAGTTTCCTAAGTATCAATTGCTACTTTCTCCTCTGTCTTTGTTTATGTACTTGCACAGCCTCCAAAGTCCCCTCAGATACTTCCTACTCCAGGATGCTTTCCCTAATCATATCAATGGAAAATAAACGTTCAAAGCAGTTGATTTCATTGGTATGTGTCACGTTCTGATTTGTTTAACAAATATTTGTTCTATGTATCTTATTTCATTGACTAGCTTGTAAATATCTTAAGAATGGGATCAACTTGACCAAGTAAACAATTACTAAAGAATCTTTGAAAAATGGATAAAAGTGTAAAGAATTTGGTTTTTACTTCTTTGAATCCCAAGTAAAATCTATTCCCCCATCTCTGGGCCTGATTGAGCTTATTCAGATGCCCATAAAAAGCAATTAATTGATAACATACAGGCCAAATATGGCTCAGATACAAGAGATTTTGTTATAGTAGCTTTGGGACCAAGTCAGCCAGAAGCAGAGATTGAATATCTGACAGTGACTTCCAGTAAAATTGTCAGGTTCAGCCCAGTGGAAGCATAGCAAAGAAAAACATGGTGTTTCTTGAGTATATAAAATAAAAACTCTTTACATGAGTTATGTGGATGAAAGCAGAAATTTGAAATTTGCTTGTTTGTTTTGAATGAGCTGCTTAAAAATGCTTGCTGTAACTTTTCACAAGCAAGCTTTTCTAAAATAAACTTGTTTGTATTGAGATATGATTGCCACATGATAAACATACTTAAAGCATACCATTGGATACATTTTGATGAATGTCTACTCTCATGAAAGCCTCCTCATAATTAGGATAATGAATATATTCATCAACCTCAAAACTAAAGACAAGTTTTAAAACAATTTATTTTTAACAATTTATTTAAAACAATTTATTTTTAAAATTAATGTACTATAAAATTAACATTTTTTGTATGTGATTTTATTAATTCAAATGCATGTATAGATTCATATAACCATTCCCACAGTCAAGATAAAGACTATTTCATCACTCCAAATATCTGTCCTCAAATACATGTAGCCTTTCTCCACCATTCACCTTTGGCAACCACTGATCAGTTCCTTATCTTGTAGTTTTGTCTCTTCTAGAATGTTATATAAATGGAATCCTACAAGTATGAACCATTCAGAGATGGACTTCTCTTACTCAGCATAATGCCTTTTATGTTCATTCTAGTTGTTACAGGTTATCAATTGTGTGTTTGTTTCTTTTTCTTTTCTTTCTTTCTTTGTTGGCTGAGTACTTTTCCATTGTCTAGAAAAACCGTAGTTTGTTTATCCATTCCCCTGCTGAAGGACATTTGGTTTGTTTCTGGGTTTCGCCATGTATAGAGCTGCAATAAACATTTGTGTATGGGTTTTTATGCAGACAGATAACTTCCTTTTTTAGACTATGTTATGCCTCATTTCATATATAATAATGGGATGAGAAATTTTCCTGTTTACAAAAAATGGGAGGAGTTTCAGATGGATTTCTAGAGAATTGAACTCTCTCAACAGGAGGATGCCATCTTGCCCAAAACTCAGAGCTGGTGGTTCTATCTGCCACTGTTCTAGTCCTCCTTTTCCAGATAACACAACTCTTTAAGACAGTATGGTGCTGCACTGTCCCTGTGCCCCTGTACTCGTGTGTTATATGGCACGTATTGAGTAGATACATGCATCAGAGCGCGTAATTTCACACATTCTGGAGCTGAGAATACTTTTGTTCTAATTAGTGAAACATGAGTGAAAGAAGCTAAATTTTACATTGGTATAGAAGGTAGGTTTGAAAATTAAAAGAGAGAATTGGAAGAATTCTCTATCAATAATTGACAGAATTGGAAATAACCATTATATGTTATTGTTGGAATCTTGTGATTCTCTAGAAATAGAAATCTTGGATTTATAATTTATTTATTTATTAAACTCAGTGAATATATATTGAACACTTACTATGTGCCAGATACTATTATAAATGTTTTATTCCATATTTTAATTATATTAGCATCTTACTAACATATTATTGAAATGTCTTTTTTTCCCCCCATAGGAGTCAATTTTACAGCTCGATCCAAGCCATTTGCTATCTTGCCTGTGACTAGGAAGGAGAAGTCAACCATCATACTGGCTGCTTCCCTGTCCTCTGTGGTCTCGTGGCTGGCTCTGAGCTGTCTGGTGTGCTGTTGGCTTAAGAGAAGCAAAAGCAGAAGTATGTAGATTTTTGTATTTTGGAATAAAAGTTTCTGAAAAAAAGCCATCATGCATAACGTAATAGTGATTCTTTTTCTTTCTCCAAAGACAAATTTTTGTGAGCTTCTCCAAATTATGAAATTGCACAAAGCCAAATTGTTCAATTACTACATTAGAGACAAGGATTATCTAATCTTAAGTAATAATAGCAATAATAATAAAAACTCATGTTTACTAAATACTCACTGTGGAACAGGTTCTGTGTCTCTTGGCAGCTTCTGCATTTGACCTACGTATTGTTTCTGCTCAAATATGTGAAGAAAACTCAGCCTCACTCAGATATATTATAGAAACGGGATGGGTATTTTAATAGCCTTTACAGATAATTGTGGACAATCTTCTTTTCTATTGCACCTGGATTTGACAAGAAGTAGTTACTTAAAGGGCCATCTCAATGTCCTTTTATACTACAAAGGTACAGTAATCAAAACAGAATGATATTGGCAAAAAAAAAAAAAAAAAAAAAAAAGACACATAGACCAATGGAACAAGTTAGAGAACTCAGAAATGAAGCCGCATACATACAACCATCTGATCTTCAACAAAGCCAACAATAACAAGTGATGGGGAAAGTACTTTTAATCAATAAATGGTGCTGAGATAGCTGTCCCTGTTATGTGAAAATCCACCAGTCTCATTATGTACTTTGAATGGAGCTTTTACTCATGCATTAGGATTGGACCAATTGAAAATATTGTTTCATGGAGTCGTGAAGATCTTCTCCATTTTGACATATTTCATTCTACTATTCAAAAAGATCACGTTTGTTAATAACATGAATCTTTAAGAATTAGATTTTTTTTTTTTTTTTTTTTTTGAGACGGAGTTTCGCTCATGTTACCCAGGCTGGAGTGCAATGGCGCGATCTCGGCTCACCGCAACCTCCGCCTCCTGGGTTCAGGCAATTCTCCTGCCTTAGCCTCCTGAGTAGCTGGGATTACAGGCACACGCCACCATGCCCAGCTAATTTTTTGTATTTTTAGTAGAGACGGGGTTTCATCGTGTTGACCAGGATGGTCTACATCTCTTGACCTCGTGATCCACCCGCCTCGGCCTCCCAAAGTGCTGGGATTACAGGCGTGAGCCACCGCACCCGGCTGAAACATGTGAAGCTCATGAAGTTGATACAAGTTTTCCAAAATTCTAAGTTTCCCATGAAAATGAATTTTATCACTGGCAACAAATACTGTAAGTTGTTTCTTTTTTACAAGCTCACTTCATTCATTTAAGAAAAAATAAAATCTGCCAAATATACAAGTATGAATAACCATAATTTCTCAATCATTCTTTCTTACTCTTTCAAGCAAAAATGGTGTTCCATGAAAAAAATCAGCTAGTTTAGCTCAAAATTCCATTGCAAAATTGCTTTTTCTCAGGAAAATCACATACACATTTTAAATAAAATTAATTCTCTTTACTGCTTTATCAAAGATATTCTTAAGTGAAATTGGCTTTTTTTTTCCCTTTTCTTGTTGGTTTTTTGTTTTGTTTTACTGTGATTTTATCTCGGTATATCCTTCCTGATCATGCCTATCCAAAAAAGTACCTTGTGGTTTTTACTTGTGTTTCTCTAATGATTAGTGATGATAAGCATTTTTTCCCCTATGTTTTTGGCCACATGTATGCCTTCTTTTAAGAAGTGTCTGTTCATGTCCTTTGCTTATTTTTAAAATAAGATTGTTCGTTTTTTTGATATTTGATTTAAGTTCTTACAGATTCTGGATATTAGAGCTTTGTCAGATGCATAGTTTGTGAATATTTTCTCTCATTCTGTTGGTTGTTTGTTTACTCTGTTGATAGTTTATTTTGCTGTGCAGAAGCTTTTTAGATAATTGAGTCCTACTTGTCTATTTATGTTTTTGTTGCATTTGCTTTTGGAGGTTTTATCATGAACTCTTTGCCAAGGCCTATGTCCAGAATGGTGTTTCTTAGGTTCTCTTCCAGGGTTTTTATAGTTTTGGGTCTTACATTTAAGTCTTTAATCTATCTTAAGTTGAATTTTGCACATAGTGAGAGGGTCAAGTTTCATTCTTCTGCATGTGGTTGGCCAGCTATCTCAGCACCATTTATTGATTAAAAGTACTTTCCCCATCACTTGTTATTGTTGGCTTTGTTGAAGATCAGATGGTTGTATGTGTGTGGTGGCTTCATTTCTGAGTTCTCTAACCTGTTCCATTGGTCTATGTGTCTTTTTTTTTTTTTTGCCAGTATTATTCTGTTTTGATTACTCTACCTTTGTAGTATAGTTTGAAGTCTGGTATACAATAAGATACCATGTCATACCAGTCAGAATGGCTATTATTAAAAAATCAAAACAATAACAGATATTGGTGAGGTTGTGGAGAAAAGGGAATGCTGATATACTGTTGGTGGGAATGTAAATTAGTTCAGCCACTATTCAAAGTAGTTTGGAGATTTCTCAAATAACTTAAAACAGAAGTTTTCAACTCAGCAATCCCACTACTGGTCATATACCCAAAAGAATATAAATCATTATACCAAAAAGACACATGCATTTGTATGTTTATTGCAGCACTATTCATAATAGCAAAGGCGTGAAATCAACTTAGATGCCCATCAACAGTGGACTGGATAAAGAAAATGTGATACATATATACCATGGAATAGTATGCAGCCATAAAAAGAATGAAATAACATCATTTGCAGCAACATGGATGCTGTTGGAGGCCACTAACCTAAGTGAATTAATGCAGGAACAGAAAACCAAATACTACATGTTCTCTCTCATAAATGGGAGCTAAATAATGAGTACATACTGGCATAAGGAGAGAAACAATAGACACTAGAGCTTACTTGAGTGGGGAAGGTTAGAGGGGAGTAAGGGTTGAAAAAGTATCCATTGGGTACTGTGTTCACTACTTGGGTGATGAAATCATTTGTACGCTAAATCCCAGTGATGTGTAATTTACCTGTAACAAACCTATACATGTACTCCTAAACCTAAAATAAAAGTTGAAAAAGAAAAAAAAAGGTCTACTTCCTACTCTTTAACTATCTCCTTTTCATGCCACAGTATAGTATTATTTTGCTTTATATTACAAATTTGTTTATCCTCTGCCATCCAAACTAGAATAAAAGCTCTATGAGGGCAGGGATCAGATCTTTTATATTCATCCCAGAGCCTTGAACAGTGTTTGACATAAGGAATATAAATATATCTTATATTAATACATTTATTAAATAAATGAATAGAAGATGAAGTATCTCTTCAACCACGGATAGACTGAAGATATACAATCTTCAATTAAAAGCTCCTGTCATCTTGAGTTCTGTGGCTTGAACTGGTCTCAATTCCCTGGTATTGATATCATACTGTAGTTACACAGGTTGTTAACAATGGAGAAGGCTGGGAAAAGGTGCTTGAATCCTCCCTGTATATTTCTTGACAACTGCCTGTGAACCAATACTCATTTCAAAATTAAAGTTAAAAAAGTGTTAGTAATATTCTGTCATTAGCTAATCAGCTGTGTCCAACAGAAGTGTAACATGAGCCACAAATGCAAGGCACATATGTAATTTTTTAGTAGCCATTTAACATAATATATCAAGAATATTATTTCAACATGCAATAAATATAAAAATTTTATTGGTAGTTTATGTTTTTCTCAAAATTGAATGTGTACATTATACTTATAATACATCTCAATTTGAACTAGTAACATTTTAAGTGATGAGTAGCCACAGGTGGCTGCTATTTGTATCAGACAGGACAGTTGTATACCATAAAGTTGATGGTCAGTATATAGGATTTGATGCCATTATTTCTTGAACTCTGAGTATGTTATGTGCATTCTATTGCATGTATGTGATAATTATGGGACAAGAGTACATACAAGGGAAACACCTAAATATTGATGGTCCTACTTACAAATAAAAATGTTCTTTTTATCTGAACAAAAAAATCCCTTCTTTTTTTCCATTCATACAGAAACGAAACCTAAAGAGATTCCTGAATCCCAGACTAATAATCAAAATAATCATATCCACATCTCATCCAAATGCCAAGAATCACAGGGGAGCAAAAAAGAAGACACTGTGATGGGAGAAGGTAAGCTCAGAGGGTGGAGATGATCCTCACAGGAAAGACCCACTGTGGTCGGACTGAGCCTCCCTCTCCTTCAGTTCTGTTTCTGAAGCAATTTAGTTTATAGACCCTTCTTAGTCTTTGTTACTTACCTTCAAGGAAATTATACGCCAGCAGAAAAATACACAGGTCTGGCTGATTCACTCAGCTGTTCATCAATTATTTGAATTGACACACACACACACACACACACACACACACACACACACACACATATATATATATATATATATATATTTTAGTAGAAGATTATTGGTTTAACATTTGAGTTCATTACACAGAGGAAAGGGAAAACCAGAATATAGGCATATAATCTTTCCTTTAGCTATTGCAAAGCTGCCAATTTGGCAACATTATGAATTTGGGAAAGAAGAGTACAGTTGCCAAATGCCAACTACGCAAATTAGATTGAGTACAGAACCGTTGATAAATGAGTCAGCTTTGTTAAGCAATGCTTTTGTTCAGTTGCACTTTTGGCAAAGTGTATGATTTGCCAACATGGTGTGTTATGTGAGATGATATTACTTGTTATATTGTTAAATTGCTGTTAGATTAGTGCTAAACAGAGAAAAGATAAGCATTTGCCTGGGACAAATGCTTTGCTCTCGTCCTACAAAGAATGCTGCAGATAGGAAGACTGGACAGAGTACAAGATGGCTTTGCCAAATGTGAGTATAATACATGAAAAATATTCATATAATTTCCATGGGCCTGAAACATTTAAAAATGTGTACTCTAAAGAGTCAGTTATCACATTTTCTACTTGAAAAGGCATACCAATCTTAGTGGTTCCGAATGTGTGTTTAAGCAAAAAATAATAGCAGTCCAATGTTATTCTGCCTCTAAGTAGCTAAGTGAGATCTTGCATGTGTGCGTTATATGCGTGTGTGTGAGCGCATGCATGAGCGTGTGTATCAGTTTGTTTGTATATTTTTCCATAAAGGAAATAAAGATGTACTTTGTTTTGTTTGGTTTTTAAATTTTCCCAACATATTAGCCACATTTTGGCTCCTAGACCTGCACCGAAATAATGGTAGAGGGTATGGGGTGTACATGGGAATGGTATTGAACAAAATAGAGAAAGAGAGAAGGGGACAGGGATCATTTCAAGATTCCATCTAAGATTATTCTAATTTTGGTTTTTAGAAGCCTCTTGTCCATATTATTGCATGTAAACTCAGGACAGATGTTTGAATGCTGCCATCTGAATAGCTCTTCATATTCAGCTGCCATCTCCAGTGAATGGCAAGAGTGGTGCTAATCTCTCCCTTAATCTCATAGGGCAATCTATGCGAATCTCAGTGGCCCACTTAAATTAACTACATTAAGCAGTCCACAGTGCCTGACTGTTTTATTAAGGAACTTTTTTTTATGTGGTGGCTTATTAATAAATTATTAGAAATGAGACAGGGATAGGGCTCCTGTGGAAAAGTTTAGATTGATGAGAGGGGAGCATCAAAAGGCCATTTTACTAGGACATTCAAATTAAAAATAGAAGGATGTGTTATCCGAATCCTCCTCTGGGGATCACAGCAGATGTGTTTCTTTATCTTCTAAGCTTTGTACAAATCTGAAGAGTATCATTTTGAAGACAAATCATGAGGCATCTCCTCCTTTTCTTTGGAAATTATTACCAGCTGTGAAACACCTAATTATTGGTAGCTTTAAATAAATTTTGTTTTATTCTATTATTGCCATGGCACTTAAGTTTCCCTTTTATCTCTGTGTTTTTAGGCTTTTAACATTTGCAGATAAAGTGTTTGGCTGTCGCTTTCTTCAGCACTTTGCCTTCACAAAGCACTACCGTAGCACTTAACATTATTGAACTGTTGGAACTGAGCATGACTACTAGATTCAGATTGTAAATTTACCACATTATAGCTTTTAACCAAAATTGCATGGGTATAGTTGGGGTGCTAGAAATTTGTGGTGGGGGAAGAAGAGTAAAGTATACATCTCTCCTATTTTACTGTTGCCAGGATTTTTGATATCCAGAGCCATCTAAGCCCTCTTTTAAAATCAGTATCTACTCATGTCACTCTGCTACTAATAAGATTTAATGAATTCTCACTGTCAGTTGGAGAATCAGGATAGTGTGACAGTTAAGAGCATGGAACCCAGATGTCCAATAGACTGGGTTTAAATATGACTCCCTGTTGAGAGACTTTGTGGCCTCAAGTAAGAGGAAGTAACTTCTCTCTGTGTCTTTCAGTGGCCTCATCAGTAACATGGCCCTAATAATACTGGCAATTCTTATGGTTATTATACAGAGTAAGTGAATTAATGTCAGTAAGGAACACAGAACAATTTCAAGCATACCATGTGTGCTATTTATCTGTTACTTATTATTGGTTTATAAATGTTATTTAAGATTCAAAGCCCTCCAGTTCTGTGAAGAAGGTCATTGGTAGCTTGATGGGGATAGCATTGAATCTGTAAATTACTTTGGGCAGTATGGCCATTTTCACAGTATTGATTCTTCCTAACCATGAACATGGAATATTTCTCCATCTGCTTTTGTCCTCTCTTATTTCGTTGAGGAGTGGCTTGTAGTTCTCCTTGAAGACGTCCTTCACGTTCCTTGTTAGTTGTATTCCTAGGTATTTTATTCTGTTTGTGGCAATTGTGAACGGAAGTTTGTTCTTGATTTGGCTCTCTTTAAGTCTGTTATTGGTGTATAGGAATGCATGTGATTTTTGCACATTGATTTTGT